TTTAAATACATTTTGTCCGAGTGACATAGGCTATATTTTATCCCGTTAAATAAATTTCGCCCGTAAAATGCCCGGGTGGATCACTAGTAAGTGTAATATAATATTATAGATGCGAAAATGAGTTTGTTTGTTGCGCTTCCGTGCCCTAATAGCTAAATCGAATATAATGAATTCCCACATAGAAGTAGATGCAGGGGCGGATCTTGAATTTGTGGGGCCCTGGGCTAATACTGCTTAAGGGCCCTACCTAATTACTCAACTAATTGCCATTTTGACAAGAAACTGTTTTCTGTAGTGATGTAGGTATATGTAATATATAATATGTTAAGTACAGGAAGAAAATAAGGAAACAAAATGTTTTATTTATTTATTAAAACATAATTTATCGCAAAATAAATTGAAAGGTTATAAATGGTTATGTGTGCTGCAAATTCTTTTATTTGGTCATCGCACTGTAGGTCCTTTGTTAAATCGCAATTTATCGAAAGAACTGATAAATGATTTAGTCGATAGTTCGACATTGTTGTCCTGTAATTGTTTTCTATATACGACATCCTGGAGAAAGAACGCTCCGCTTCACAGCTAGTGATCGGCATCGTTAAAAAAATCTTTAAGGTGGTATAGCAGTTTGGGAAAACATCAACAAGTTTCTTTTCATAAATTAGCCAAAAAATTCACTGCAAGAGGGGTAAGACTCTGTCTTAGACTGCAGTAAGTAAGATTTCAACATAAGAGTGCATTCGCCCGGATTGCGAAGGGTGCGGGTTCGAGTCTCCTCTGCTGCCTGGTCCGCGTGGAATTTTTTCTAGTTATATATTCTTTAGATTTAAACATCAAGCAGTTACATGCTTTAAAATAATAAAAATTATAACTAAACTTAACACATTTCTAACAATAACAAAATTAATTCGTTAATATAGTCGACGATAGCAGAAGTGCGGAAAAATAACAAAATAACACTCCCATGATGGAAACGAATCGATTGATGTATGAATCATCAAAATCGGTTCAGGCGTTTGGTCTCTAGTGTGCCACAAAGGAACAAACATACATATATAGACTCTTAATAAACACATAACCCTGTCTGCGCGTCGCGCTTCGCGCTCTTGCATTGCGCAGCCGGGTAAAAACTAGATGGCATCGGCATCCGATAGCGGTAATAAGTGGCATCGGATGCGCGCATCCAAAACTGGCATCGTTATTGCGCATCGTTATTCTAAAAACGCCCACCCCTAGCTTATAGTACGATTATTAATTCTAGTCAGTAAAATGACATTTCCAGTGTTGCAGGTTTTTTGTCCCAAATAAATAGTGATGTGGTAGAATCGAGTTTTTACAATTAAAAGTTAGTCGAGATTACATTTTTTTTATTCAATATCACATTGCATTTATATAATATATAAATAAAAATATGTAATTTACGGTAATTAAACAAAACACATACACGGTGAGTAATTTATTTAATATTACATAGAACACTGTTGTATTAAGTTAAATATCTCCAGTGGCGGATTAAGCCCGTCAGAGGCCCGGGGCGGCAAAGCTGAATGAGGATCCCCAGCTTTAATAAAAATGTAGATTCTTATGTTTATTTCGTTAAAACCAGTCTTGTCAAATTCACCATAACTTTGTATCAGATTGTCAACTGCTACAGCCAGAGCGTCATCTGAAGCTTCTAGCATAAACTTTGTTTTAATAATTTGGAAAATACTTTTGATTTGTTTAATAGCCCATTTCGAAAATTCTTGTATAAAGCGGTCTATGCATTCATACATTGATCGACGTATTTCTTCTTACCCGGCATCGTTATTTTTACCTTCACTTTTCCTGGTTTCTCGATGTTGATGAACCACCTAAATACTTATTCAAGGCGTTTAGTTTGGTGATTTCTGTATCCAGAGTCATTTTTGGAGACTGCAAATGCATATAAGAGTAAATTATTTGCACTACATTCATTCAGGGATTCCTGAGGACGTACCCGCTACAAAGACGGGAATTCCCCCAGCATATTGGACGCGTTCAGCAAAGTTAAAAAAATATTATTACCGCGTAAAAAGTCTAGATTACTGTAGTGTTTTGATCTTGATGAAATTATGTAGGTACATTTTTAAGGTCTTGTTTAGGATTTAATCAGGGGAACGCGGAGGCATTTGGGGGCCCCCCAAGATCGGAGGCCCGGGGCGGGTCGCCCCTTCCGCCCCCCTGTTAGTCCGCCACTGAATATCTCATTGTGTTTACTCGGTGAATTTTTGGTTATTGGAAGCACTATGGTCATCACTAGTCACGCTATGGACGCTATTTTGTTTTTCATTCTGCTCCCGACTCCGACGGTGTCAGAAGTGTTTAGTCTCTGCAATTTCTTGTTTATTTCTTACTTGTTATTTTTTTGTTGAGTTTTGTTAACAACAAATTTGTTTTTGTAAACGATACGTTTTTGTTTTTTCACGTTGGTGTTTGAGATGGATACCCAACCGTCCACCTCTTCAGAGGGATGTCTCCCTACAAAAAGAAAGCGTCGATCATTTGTTGTGAGTGAGAAACAAATGGTTCTCAATGCATATTATCATGTATGGAATCAAAATGCAGCAAAACCTTTTGATGTTCCAAAGAAAGATGAGTGTGTGAAGACAGTATCTCAAATTTAGGGAATTTCGACTAAATCTGTGTATCGGATACTGAAAGAACAAACGGAGAACGTTCAGTTATGAAATTGGAAAAAATCTAAACCCAAACTGACATTCAAAGATAAAATTGATGATTTTGACTTTTCGGCGATACGTCGTATAGTTCACCAATTCTTTTATGAGAAGGACCCTCCAACTATTGCCAAGGTATGTAAATCTATAAAATTATAATACTATACAAAATATATAATTGCACATCATACATACATAATAATAATTAATACACATTGTCATTGTCTCGCTGTTGTTTACAAAAAAACAATATTTGTAATATTTTACAGGGTCATTAGGTTGTAAATGATGATCCTGACCTACTAAATATGTCAAAGAGTACCATGCGAGCAGTTTTAAAACATTTAAATTTTAAATATGGTAGTCGCAAACGACGCAGCTGCTTGACAGCCCGTCAAGACTTAATTCTGAGGCGTAGACGGTACTTGACGACACTCAAAGAATATCGGAGACAAGGAAAAATAATTTATTATCAAGATGAGACCTGGATTAATGAAGGTAATTGAATATTTTTATTTACAACTGTATTTTGTGATTAGTTTTTCAGTGTCAAAATGTATTTGTGTCAGTATTATATTATTTATATGATTTTATGTATTAACAGGCCATACAACTGGTAAAGTTTGGGTGGATACAACAATAGAATCTTCCAAACAAGCGTTTTCTAAAGGTTTGACAACAGGCCTAAAGAGCCCAACCGGTAAAGGTCGACGCCTAATAATTTCACATATAAGCAGTGATGAAGCTTTTGTAGAAGCCGGTTAACTTATTTTTGAATCGAAGAAAAATAGTATGGACTATCATGAAGAAATGAACTCAGAGTGTTTTGAGGAATGGTTTAAAAGCATTTTGCCAAATTTAAAGCCAAATGCTGTGCTAATATTAGATAACGCACCGTACCATTCAAGAGAAGTCGAGCGTATCCCCACTTCAAACTGGCGGAAGGCTGATATTATTCAGTGGTTGGATGAAAAACAAATTCAATATCAACCTACAATGATCAAGGCTCAATTAATAGAAATAGATAAATGTGTGGATTTATCCATTATAAATGTAATTGATTCCGATTCCGAATATACCGATTCAGAATCGGAGTCGGAATCAATATCAACTGTAATGAATAAAAACGTATAAAATGACTTGTATTGTTTTACTTAATTCGTCTGAATCTCTTTAAAAAAAAATCAGCTTTTGTTATAATATTGTAGTAAGCAATTATAATATGCTGGTAAGGTCCATATTTTTAAAATCATATTATTTCATATGGTATGTATTACATATTTACAATAAAAAAAACGCTTTGATACCTAATAAAATAAAGCATGACTAAATGTCTAAGTCTATTGAATGCCGAACATCACTATTGTAGCTGGTCACCGACTGGCGACGCTCTGACCTCTAACCCATAGACATCTCTAACCTCTCTCTCTAACCCATAATGATGGCCATACACAATACGAGAAATCGTTACGATCAGACTGTACAGTTCGAATGGTACAGTTCATCGTACATGGCATATAAGTCATACACGCTACATGAAATCGTTACGATCAAACGGTACGATAAACGGTGCCGACACACACATGTCAGCGATGGCTTCTACGGACGACGCTTTAGCAGTTGTTGGACTAATATTCGCCCAGAAGGAAAATAAAGTGAAGCGAAAAATTCGTAGCATCTGGTGCAAAGAATGGCAAATGAAAAGAAGAGTTCATTCTCGTGTCAAATCATTGGCAAAATATAGATGTTTCCAAAAGACTGTCATAATTTTTATCTTCTTCTTCTTCTTACACTCTTTTTTGTAAGTAGAGAAAATGTTGTTAATTTTTTTACAACAGCATCTTCGTCAGCACTAGTCTACTATTTTAAAATTTTCAATCAGCTTAGTGTACGCCGAACGACACGAAAAAAGTTATGATAGGTACTTTTCCCCTTAATATTCCAAAGACTAGGTTCACTGCCATGTAGCTCAATAAATGGTTCTAGCCATCCGCGATTAGTTTAAGACGCCATGACGCGTGCACACGTCTACCCGAACTGCAACTGACGCCAAAACTGAACGAGCGCATACACGTTACCGTTATCAGTCGGCACAGTTCATCCGATTCCAATTAATCTATTGAAATCTTCGTATTGCTCCGATCGACTGCACAGTCTTAAAAAATCGTAGGAAACTGTACCCTTTTATAACATACACGCTACGATTTATTGGTACCGATCGAACTGTACAGTCTAATCGTAACGATTTCTCGTACCTTATATTGGCTGTATGGACGTTATTTTAAAATCCTTTATCTTTAACTTCTCATTCGGCATCAAATTTTATGAAAACAACACTTTCTGTGATTGTGTTGCGCTGGTTTATTTTTGGAATTAGTGAATTTTTAAGTCTTTTCGGATAATTGTACGTAGATTGTGAATTTAGTTTTAAGTGGTAAGTTTCATACACCTAATTTTGCTTTTTAATATCTCATACTGATACTACGTGACCAATCACGTACATATTAGAAAAACACTGCTCTGACCATTTTAGACTTGGCATTATTCACTCTTCCTGTATTAACTAAAGACTATTTCCTGTGACTATCTTCTTTATTCTTCTGTGCCTGGAAATATTAAAAGTTGATCGAATTAAATAATGTTCTTTCAACTTTTATTAACAAATGTGTTATGACCAAATCAAAAGTGTTACTCACACTTAGATAATATAGTCATAAACAATTTTACAGTCGCAATACCTACTGCATTACTTAGATTTACAATATCTAGTTTATATACAGTTTTTTTACAGGAACTATGGTGTCAAACAAAAAATAAGATGTCAGTTGAAAATTGTTTGGTCAAGGCAATCTATTCTTTCAAGGGCAAAAACAATGATGAATTATGCTTCAAAAAAGGGGATATTATTACTGTTACACAGAAAGAAGAAGGTGGATGGTGGGAGGGAACACTGGGGGAGACCACAGGGTGGTTTCCTAGTAATTATGTGACTGAATACAAAGGTATTTTTAAGACTACTACCTATTTGTTTCATAAAATTTTCATAGATGTTTGTGTGTTGTGTTCACATTTAAAAATGTTCATTAACTATAAATTATTGCAGATACATCAGGTTCAGTCACCACTTCACCAATTCGAGCAGCATCTGAAATTCAAGCTTTTAGAAATGTGGTACTCAAAGATATCATTGATTCTGAAAAGGCCCATGTTGCTGAAATGCAAGGATTGGTTAACAACTTTCTACAGCCCCTGGAAAAAAGTGAAATGTAAATAAATTTAACTTCCTGTCTATTGGGTATACTTGTACAATACAAATGTCAATTCCTAGTCTTTGATCTATGCCTGGTATACTCAGAGGCAGTTTTTATTTTTTGTTTCTGTAATAGTATATAAAGCAATATACAAATGATTTTATATATTCCTGTAAGTTTTGATAAACAAATTGCAAAATCTAGATAATTAGTCTTAAATCCGCTTTCAAATTAATTGAAAGGTTTGACTGCTTTTTGGTAAATTATGGATGAATGACAAAATTTTAATGCAATTTTACCATTGAAAATAAAAACTTTGTGTGGGTTTTATTATTTTTATTAATATTTTATTTTTCTTATTTGTCAATGTCGTATTATGTATAATTGTTAGCAATTTTATTATTTATATATTTTTTTGTTAAATTTATGAGAATATTAAGTTTATGAATTTAAAATTTATATATTGATACTTGGTGCTATGTAATAAAGTTGTCTTAATTTTAGTTAATATCTACTAGATTTTATATATTCTATAAATCCTATTACATACCTTCATATTTGATCTTAAATACAGGTTAACAAAAGATGAGTTTATGCAGCTAACTGGCAATATTAATGAAGTTCTTCAAATTCACGAACAGTTTCTTTCTTTACTGGAAGAATGTGCTACAAAGACTGGCCCAGATCAGAGAGTTGGAGGTCTTTTTCTACAATGGGCTCCTCGAATAAAATCTGTCCATCAAGTTTATTGTGCTGGTCACCCCAAAGCTGTTTGTGTACTTGATAAGTACAAGTAAGTATAAATCCAGTGTGACACTTTGACCGAGTTGAAAATTTTAAATAAATTTAGTAGGTAAAGTTTTCTTTAGATGTACTAGCTATTAAATATTTCATTAAAAACATAAGTACTATAAATCCATACTCATGTAATATGTAAACTGATTAACACTTAAATTACTACAATGAACATGACAGCAGCCTCATATTCTTATTCTCAATAGAGCATGGTAAGGTATACTACTAACCACTTTCAAATGATTGAGTGGATTATGGCAGAATTGGCTCCATTAGAATATTCATAATTTTGAAATATAGTACCTATTTAATATTCTTGACCATTTAGGTTGCTTCTGCATTCAATAAATGTTTATACAAATTAATTGCTACGTATAAAATTTTACTTCTAGGGAAGAATTGAACACCTGGATGGAAAATGCTGGTGCTGTTTGTCCTGGTGTTTTAGTATTAACTGCAGGCTTGTCTAAGCCCTTTCGAAGACTTGGAAAATATCCAGCTATGCTCCAAGAGCTGGCTCGCCATGTTCACGAAGCACATCCTGACAGAGGTGACACTCATCGAGCATCGGTTGTTTATAAAGATATCGCTGTGAGTATAAAATTGTATAATATATTATTGTACTTCATATTAGGTGTCTTCTTAAGAAAGCGTAAATCATAAATTGAACAATCTAAATGAAAATTTCTGCATCTAGCTAATCTAAGCTAATATACAACCTTCATAAATGCTGTTTTTGAGCAAATATGTTGAAAACTATATTATCAGTCAATATAATATATTAACTTAAACAATATTAGAATCGTTTTATTTACACAATTTCAAAAAAAAGTATTGCACAATTACGTAATCTTCATTTACCTTGCAGAGTGGGTGTGCAGCGTTACGACGCCAGAAAGAATTGGAACTGCAAGTGGTGACCGGTGAAGTTAGAGGTTGGCCTGGTGGTGAACTAGCAGCATTGGGCGATGTATTACATATGGGTAGTGTGGCTGTTGGTCCATCACATCAGGACCGTTATCTTGTTCTATTCCCTTCAGCCCTATTATTGCTCTCAGTTAGCAAGAGGGTATCTGCTTTCGTATATGAGGTAAAACATTCAACAGCTTTTAATTTAATAAGATAAGTTAAGAAACTCTTTAGTATGACACCAAGGAACATACAATATTATGTAACATTGCAAATAATCTAGAGTGTTACAACAGGCTGTCTTATCGCTAAAAGTTATTTCTCCCAGACAACAGTGGAAAGTCTGACAGGAACTGATACTTTAGAGTTTAAATATTACTTACCTAATAAACATGCTAAAAGAAATAATGATAGGACATCGACGAAATCATTTAATGCATATTATTTAAGTGCTTACATACCTCTATGTAAGCACTTAAAAAATATGCATGAAATAATATATATTAAATGATAAACACTAAATCTATTCAGAATATATAAAGTGTACATCTTTTACGATTAAGTATAATAATTATAACCTCAAAATCTAATACATTCTGTAGTAGGGCACGGTTCCTCAAGTTGTCCGTATCTCAACAAATGCCTTATTAGAGTTTATGAATGATTCCGAACACAACTAGCATTTTCTCATTGCTGGGCGTTCTAGGGCATTCAATGTATGGGGAACGAGCAATGTCTTAAAGGACATATAAGTAAATTAAAGATGGCTAAAAATGTATATATAAATATAAATAATCTTTTAGGGTTGTCTTCCATTGACTGGTATTACAGTATGCAAGTTAGATGATACAGATACTAGAAAGAATGCATTTGAAATTAGTGGACCCATGATAGACACCATAGTAGCTGTCTGTCAGACAAGAGCTGAAGCGGACAATTGGGTTGGTTTACTGCAGAAGCATTCCAACACAAGCAGTCCAATTCATGAACCTGGACAGCCGCAATCTTTACCTCATGTAAGTAATCCCTCTTAATTAAGTATTTATAGTTTAATTTTGTTAATTTGTGTAATGATAAAGAGTCTTATGATGTTCTTGATAGCTGGCCCGCTCTCCGTCCGAAGGAGCGTTGTCTAGCATCAACACTAGCCGCCGCAGTCTTTATCACGTAACTTTACCACCACCCAGCTACCCTTCTGCATCACCTTATTATTCATTGACCAAATACTTCGCGAGACTCGTTAAGAAAAAAGTTATAACTAGACAAATGCTACGTAAACTGTTACATGAGAGGACGTGGGTGAAAGCATTCGAATTGTCTGGTCTACCCGTGATGAGACGGCACAAAAATCGCATACGGTTGAAGATTGGAAATGATGGGACGATTGGTACAGAGACAGAATACTCTGATAGTGATAGGAATTCAGTCGACAGTGATCGGGAAACGGATACTACTGAATCATACACAACCTCTAGTTGCACAGATACTGAGCCTTTCAGTAATAAAATGTTTAGACAAGATGCTTTAGATAACTCCAGTCCACGGGCAGTTTCTTCAAACTGTAGTAGCTGGGGGAGTAATTTTGGTTATGTGAGGTGTTTTGATAAATATTATATGCATTTTGATGAACAACAATTAATCATTAAGGGAGATTGTACAAAAGATATATTTAATTATTTGCCTCGGCTTAGTGATACCGCCAATAATAATTCCCCGATTAAAGAATTATCACTTGAACAGATGAATGAATTACAAATTCTCAAACAACATTCCGAAAGTACTGGAAATTCTAGTTTTGAAATAAGGCCTTATATGGCTTGTGAAGATTTGGTTAACTTGGACCAGAATGTACAAATTAGTACTCTACATAACGAAGAGCTAGATTTCTTACCTACTAGACGTAGCTTTCCTAATTGCAGAGGAAAGTTAGATCCTTTACCAAAACTTTGGAAATCTACTGAAGAAAACTATTCTCATGACGATGTTGCTTCTGAAGATGGTGCAATGTCTGACATATTGGAGAACTTAGCTCCACCTTCACCAAAGCAATGTAGTGCCTGTACAATAGATTCTATTATTATAGATCCCCCACCTATGTTCCGAAACTATGAAGACGACATGAAAGTCATTAATGTTAACCTTAACACCAACATACCATTTAGAAAACATTCATTGAACTCGGACAAAAAAATCCGACGATCACTATCAAAATCTATGGTGGAAACAGAGACATACAATAAAAATGACGATTCTCGAGTTCAAAGGATGAGTTCTCAATCTGAAAATCATAAGGTTAACAAAAAATGTGAATGCTGTAATAGATCGCTATTTCCAAGCCCGAGATCTTCAGACTCAGGAGTCGTAGGCAGCTGTAACCTTGCCTCCCCCGAATTAAACATGCTTGAGTATTCAACCCGAGGAACCGCTGGAAATGATTCTCATAGTAAAGGAAAAAAATCTTTAAAGAGTTCCTTAACGCATCTACAACAAGATTTACAGTTATCAGATCTAGATGACTGCCGTCGTAAAAATTTAACACTATCAGAAATTGAAGCAGCTGCTTTTGAAGACCAGTGCCGATGCACCTCACCTTTTGGATCTACCGCTCGGACATCTTGTGTGACAAGTGTAACTTCCGAAAATAGTTTAGATGTGATGGATTCCTCTAACACAAATGTCACTTCAACGTTTACTTCAATCCCTCCGGTTATATCACCACAGATTAAAAGAACTTCGATAAGGAGAAACATCGAACGATATGTCCCAGAAATCAAAATGAAACCACAACCGCCACCACGCTTATATCGTAAACCAAGCACTCACTTAGAAATTCCGAAGAATGTACGTCAGCATGTGCCATGCCAATGGGGTACTTTAAACATCACAGAACGTACGAAACCCAGTTTGCATTACCATATGCGCATATACAAAGACAATACAGAGGTGAACACTAACAGACAATCTCGAGTGAATAAACTACGGAACCGTGATATCTTCGACAAACAAACTGAAAGTCAAGGATCGTCCCAGTCGAGGAAAACTAGGTCTCGTAGCGAAGACTTATCGAAAATGCAGAAGGGTTTATCAGAAGCCGGGTCTGGCTTTATGGTGTACCGTTCCGATTTGTACGCGCACTGGTGGATGAAAGCAAAGTTACCCATTACCGTGGTCACCGACTCAGGCAAGGATTACTTTGTAAAGAGATACTGTTTTGTTTATCCATTGGTTTGAAGATTGCCTTGAATTTATAACCGCTAGATTAATGCTGCCACTAGTTGCCCCACTGTTGCAGTGCTTTACTTGATCATCCTTGCCTGTGTTTATTCATGTTACTAACAAAAGGAAACCATTAGATTTCACTGTACTAACGAATGAAGAGATTGTAATGCATGGAAAGGCTTGATTTATGTTCTACCCATGAACACGGTAAGAAGAGTGTGATGCCAATGCTTACATTACTTACGGGCAACTATGGAACCCGTTAGAAAGTGAGCTGTATTTTAATAAAATGTATCTCTAGATTTTGATAGATGTTAAATAATAGGTACCTACTAATACCTACTTTTACTACCCGAAAAAGTATTGAATAAGAGTGTAATAAATATAAAGTTAAAATATACCCGTTTTCGTGATTCGATGCAGTATAGCTAGTTGGTTATGCCCACAAGTTTAGTAACCTGTACCCTACCGTAGCATTATCTACTAGCTAACTGTAGCACCAGTTAGATTAACCTAGATTCAATAAAAAAATTAGGACTGATTTGATTTATTAATTCAAACGTATTCATTATATTGCATTTACATTTGAGTTATTGTTTTTTGATGAGTGTACTCAATGGATAAATGCCTCGTCATCGTTCCGATAACGTACAACGCCGTAACATCTGGTTAAGAGGGCGCGTTCTAATATGAAGCTTGCCAAACAAACCGTAGCTGCATTCTTCCTCGGCTCCGTTACAAATGAACGCAATAACCGTTGCGCTTTAAATACTTGTCCTAATGGCTGTTAAAAGCTTTTCATTGTGAGCTTTTAACTTTTAAGACTTGAGTTTTTTTTTATTTTAAGCAAACTATCCCGACCTCAACCTTTGTTTTGTCATACAATGTATGTATGTATGTAATTTTACCCTTTTGTAATTTCATCAAATTTTTTTTCGACTTCAGTAGTATTAATAGTTTTATGCATTCAACAGATGGCCATGAGCGAAAGCAATAACTCCGACCTGTCTTCTGGATTGTCCAACCACAAAAGATCACATTCATTCAACAACCATCAAAGCTATAATCAACATACGCAGCAAACTCAGAAAAACAAACAAAGCAACCAATCCGCACGTTGGCTATTGAATTCCTGCGACTCCCTTGACCAATCGCCGGCTAAGACAAACAAAAGCTCTATTGGGAAAAAATTTTCTTCAGTAGATTTTATCGACATATCGAATTTAAACTACAGCAACAAAGGTTAGGAACTTCTTCTTTTGAAATACTTGTTTTAGTCGGTATGTTTGCAATGTTCTTAAAATTGGCAATGCTAATGACGGAATTACGTTCATTTTTCTAAAACAGTTCAAATCCAGGGTTACATGTTAATTTCAATAAATATGTCATTTCTTTTTTTCATTTTTACTTGTAGTCATGCCAGTTTTCTTTAGAAGTAACGCTCTTAAATATCAGCTCACTACAGGCAAAAGGCGCAACCCCACAAGTAATAGGACCTACAGTAATTACTTGGGAGTTAACCGAATAATATATTTTAGGGTGGAGTGTCACATGCTTGCGCCCGGCGCCGCCGCTGCGACCACAGTCATTTACGATCGGCTCCGACGAAAATATCGGACCGACCCACCCATATGCGCCTCACCAAAGAAAATCCAACTCTTACGAGGAGGACGCACTCATACTCAAAGTTATCGAAGCCTATTGTACTTCTGCGCGTTGTAGGAATGCTGTAAGTTCCGGTAAGTAAAAAAAATATAATTCCAAGCATAATTTTCATATTTCATAAAGTAATAATTTAATCGTAGCGTTCACCCACTGCGGCGTGCGATTTGTTAATGCTCGGGACAAATAATGACCATTTGTTTAATTGCTACCGTTATGCTAATTACGTCGAACATTGTTACCTAATAGCAGTAATTAACAAGCAGACCAGTACCATCCCGAGACACTGGCGGTTAATGAATTTCGGTCACTGATTCTTTTCTATTTTAGACTGCATTAGAAATTGTAACCGCGTTTTGTTTTAAAATACTTATAGAGTAGAAGGATTTGCTTTTTTTTTTTAATGTAACTGTAACATTAGTATTGGCGAGGGTATCTACTAACAAAGCTGTATTTATTATGCAGTACCCAATATACCACTGGAGATATTCGAGTCTACAAGGAGGAGACATGCAAAATCAAGAAACCGTATAATCAGTTGGTTTTTGGAATAAAAGATCTGTATTTTTGTAATAAACCAAATATCGCTAGTCATATAAAAGTTAGCGCTTGAGAATACTATATAATAATTATAATCGTTGTTAAAGTTCTGTTATCGTTGGTGTACATTTAACGCACCGGTTTCACATATTTATCTATGTATATACTCGTAAACTATCCTGACTATGAGCACATGTCTCTAAATGCATGATAATGGAGCATGCTTTGGTAATATAACTATCTGTTAATTGGTAATATTTACTTGTAGATCTGAGTATCAACTTCATAATATTTAGTTTAAATGTTTATTATCAGTACAAAGTAGCTAGTCGTATTTGTGGTACTGGTCAAATGTAGTAGCGTATAAATTATAATCTACTCATTTATGTAGTTATATTTTTTAGAAGAATCTCATCATTTGCTAATAATATTCATATATTTAACTATATTTAAGTTGAACATAATCTTTACTAGTATTAAGCATTTTTGCGATATTTTTTGTATTCGCAGCTTCATTTATCAAATATTTGAATTCTGATTACAACCCAAAATGAACAATGATAAAAGTTATTCCTCTTTTAAATACAGCTTAATCGATTTATTTGGAACTCTATTTCAACTCTTTAAGTTGTAGGTCCTGCACTGTTATCACAAAATCTTAATATTTCTGCATTCTGCAAGATAACATGCATCATCCGGCTTATTATTCGTTACTGGCGTCGTTACTAACCTTTTAATGGCAAGCCTTTATTTCGTGCATTTTTTCGTTTAGCGCGCCGTAAATTAAACTAAACACTGGCTTGTTACGACGACACGAGGTAGTCTGAACCTTTCTATTTTGTTACATGCGGCTGCCTATTTATCGCACCTGCAGTGGACTGCGGCCACTTATCTGTCGGTAAAGTACAATATCACGCACTCGCTACTAACATACCTCACTATAACTGTACTAAACTGCCGGTCGTCCAGCGAAGTGAGACCCCCGATAGGACCGGCTGTAGCAACACAAAAGTGAAGCGCAACAAGAGTTCTTCGGCGGCCGACGCGTACCTGTACCGCGGGCCGGACACGAGGAGGCTGCTCTCGGAGAGGAAATTCCAGTTGAACCGTTCGAATCCCAATCTATGGGACTGTGGAGAGGACCGTAGACCAAAGTGGAGTTGTGCTCGGGACCGAAGGAGCGGCTCGCACCCCAGTCTAGCTCAGTCGCGGGTGCCGCTCCTCGCCTCCGCCTCCGCGTCCGCTCCTGCCCCTGCCGTCGTGCCTCGCTCCGCCCGCTCTTCCACATGGTGCTGCGGCACTTTTATCAAACAACTCCAGAAATCCCACCATTTCGACTGACACAAGTAGACACACCTCTCGGTGGTCACTCAAATTATATCCCAGCTCCCTCATCGGTTTCCTGCTCGCATCATATCGCTCTATATCACTAATATTTAATGAAAGTTCTCGTACTATCCAGACCGTGATTGTGGACGCTACCAAAGAAATCTGTTGAGTATTGAATATTTTAATACAATGCCCGCGATAGCCCGAGAATGTGACCTCAGATGTGCGTGATCATTGTGTGGTTTTCTTCCTTCCATTAATCAAAGCTGACTACATCCACTAATTTTACTAATATACACAGTGGCGGATTCGTAATTTCGTCATGATCTTAGAATATCATAAACAGTTTTTTCTATCTGAAAAGCCTTTATAAAACTGGAAAAGTTGTTCATTCGTCGATCCGCTACTGTTTATGTGTTTCATAATTGTACAAAGCTGACGTTCCACAAATCATTATATTGTATTTTATGTGCTTTATATATACTTAAGGTGAGGTTTATTAAACTAGTTGGCGAAACTTCACAGTGATTGTTCCATCGATAACTTGACACTTTGAAATCTGTTAAGTTGTCGTAAGCTTTCCTGCGAAGTTGCGTATACTAATTCAATAACAAAAATATATGTTAAACCAAAATAAGCTGGTAGGTAAACAATATCACACCGAAACGTTACCAAATCTAAGTAATTTCATCATTAATAAGGGTGTTATTGCCAAGGTAACATATTTTGTAAATAATTTCACCTATTCCAGAAAAAAATTTGGCGTGAATGTAATTTATCACATTAGAGTCATCTATACAACTTTTAATTCAGTTAATATAGCAATTAACATTTGAAAGGAGATTGCTCAAATTGGCCTAAATGCACAAAATGAATTGACATACACGGTAATTCTTGGCGTAATTTATGATTTAATTTACAGTCATTAGATTTCAACGGACACCTTTGTATAATGTATTTACTTTAAAAAGGACTTTTAATTTTACCGGTTTGGAAAACATAAGAATCATTTTTAATGGCTATGGGTGTTGTAACATTCAGCCAAAGACTGATTGAAGTTGTTTATATAACATAAAAACAAATCTATTTTGTAAAGATGGATAAAATCAATCATTTTTTTTATTACACTGTGGTATTAATATCCACAACTTTATTATCATTTTCACTAGATGCAAATGTGCTTAGACAATTATTATAGATGGTAGGCGACATCATAAAGTCTATTGCCATACATTTTTCGCCAAACAACTCCATAAACACATTATAATCTGTATATATGTTAGACTTTAAGGTATCTATCTATGGGCCTACGTTCCCTGACTATAAATTAATAACTAAATAAAATTATAAGGTGTGATACACTAAAAATCTAAAATATGGTTATGTTAAAAACATAACAAAAATAATGAAGTTACTGAATATATGGCTATAGAACCTAAATCTCTTAGCTTTCTTTGGTTAACGAGAATTTAAAAATTCCCTCTAATCTGTGGCTCATTCACAATCATCACACAGTTTCTGTCACAGAGTACCTTATTATAACCGGAAATGACACCTGATTTTAAAAGTTACTCTTATGCATTAACTTTAAAAACAGGCAACTATCTGTTAATCTACATGCTCTATATACCTGAATGTAATCCATAATTTCGGTACTTGGCTTGATTTCCCTAGTTTACTATATAACTTATTTGTTTTTTATTATTTTAACGTGTTCAGTGTATATGGTTTATATAAGTTCTCAGGGGTGTCCGTCAATAATATTCGTTTCTACAGTAATTTATATATAATTTCAAATGTAGGAAACAATTTTTCATGATTATTGGTCTTTAGGCCAAACATGTATGGAAGCTGAGCAATCTCCTTTCAAAATTATTTATTTGGCGACGTTTCTTTACGAAATTTTAGATATGTTGTATGTTTTTTGAAAAGCCTTATTAAGCGTGTTATCTATGTTTACATAGACTTAGAAATCATATAATGCAAATGCATGTATGCAGTATTATTTTAGTAGCTAAAGTGTTAAAAGTAGTTATTACAAGCTTATTAATTAAAATAAAATAGAACCATGGTGCATTATTGATTTGGTGCGTAGAAGCATGTTTATATGATAATGTAATGCTGTTTATTACTTTATAAGTTGTTGATATGATAAATTTAAGTAACGGTTTGGTAAATATTACGCGTAATAGCGACAAAATGTGTGATATCATAGCTTTATAGCCATGGCCCGGGCTGGTTCAACTAACGGCTCTCGATAAAACTATTTTAAGAACAGTCGTTTCAGTAGTTCAAGGCGATGTTTCCGTCATTATGAAATTGTTTTACTGAAAGTGGGAGATATCGTTATAGTATAACTACTGTTATTTTATTGAGGTATTGTTCATCGGGCTGCTTTTATTCTAATAAAGTTAAAGATTATATTATCAGCTAATGCTAATAAAAAGTGCTCTGCGGATTTGCAATTAACAGAGCTTGCGAACAATCACGTTATCTTAAGACATCAGAACTTTATTGTTAAGGTTCAAAATAAAACCATTACTTTTTAAAGGGGGAAGTAAATTCGTATTTACTAGTAGCCTGTAACTATGATTCAAAGTTCCGTATCAACCTACCACTAATAGGTAGGTACCAACCAAGGTAACACGTGGACACAACGCTTGTTTATTATAATTTTAGGTTGAACGGGAGTGAAGGGCAGTCCGTTAGTTGGTATATTTCCAGTCGATATGAATCATCACTATATTTATATGTCGTTGGGAAACAAAGATGTATTCCCAAGGTGCCTAATTTGATTTTCTTTATCGCAGTCCACTCCTCTTGTGCCTCTCCAGGAAAATGTTTCATTTGACAAATTATCACATAACCAGAAGGTTATTAGACGAAAAAATATATATGGTTATTCCCTTGTAAAGACGAATAATGTTAGTGTAGAGACTATAGTAAAATATTTTCAATACCGCAATGATTTTGCTAAGTTTATTTAACTCATTTACGTGTTAATTAAATGTCGACTTTTAATAACATACAAGTAATTCTTTATCAAGTTATACGGAATTTTATTACGGAACATTAATAAAGTTCTAACTAACTAACATTAATAAAGTTACACCTAGGTAGGTACATAGATTACCATAATCTAGGTGAAACTTTTATGCAATTCCCAGTTGTCACTAGGTGAAACGGCATGGATGGGTATGATTCCAACAATTTGTTACAGAACCTACAAATACAAATGCAATCCCATTTGTTTCCATGATTTTGTATAAACGAATGCAAAACCGTGTTCTGTGCACCTGAAGCCGAAAGCTTATACTCTGTAATTCCGTACTTACACAACTGACAGGATACGAATTAAAATACGCGAGCGGAGAGTACGTAGGTATGTTTTGTTACAGCAGTGACATAGGCCGTAGGTTCGTTTGATTAAGGTTTGGCAAAATACACGGATACGTAATTTTAATAAAGGCCAGGAACAGGCTTTTGTTGTAATGCGCGTAGGTAGTAGAATATTAAATTTTGTTTGCATAAATTCATTAAGACTCCGCTAATCTTATCAGGCATGTTTTTGGTCGTTTTATCATCGCACAAGGGTCGAATTATGTAAAACGTTGAGAAGGAACAGCTAATGGAGACGACTGGGGTAGATTATTAGATTGTGGTGTGGGTATAATCAGAGCGGCCAGCAGCGGTCGGCGGCCGCGTGCCTTTCATTTAATATTGAACAGGATAGCGCAGCGAGCCGCATGCAACACTCGCATATCTATGTGCAGCCGCGCCGCGTCCAATTCGTGCCAACAACACTGCAGCCTATCCCGGTGTGCCTTCAAACCGCCAAAGGATTTTTGCAAATGTTAAGAGTAATACAGACAGAACAATTTATGTCAAGTTACAGGTTTTTATTTTCTTTTTATTATTCTAAACTTTTTAACAATCAAATACCTTTGGAAGGCATTCCCAAAGTCTAAAAAATCTAAAGCCATTCTCATCGCAGTATATCTTCATAGGTTTTACATATCCCCCGTTCTATTTGGAGCTAAGCAAAATTTTTCGATTTTTTTTTAATATTTAAATTCAAATCCCAATTTACACGCAATGCTAGATTCAATATCATCACAGAGAAATTTGCTTACGTTTTTCAAAAGTGAATAAGGAATTAAAGCTCAGTCTAGAAGTCTATTTCACTAACTCCATTAAGAAAAAATTAACGCTTATTTATACATTATTTTAGTTGTTTGTTGATATGAAAGAGGCATTTTAAACAGTAACAGACTTAAGTCTTTATTCATTGTCTTCTCGTGTCTTTATTAAGCCTGGAAGCCACTCCCCGGTAAAATGGTGTTTAAGCGCCTTAACAATTAATAAAAAATATTGATCTAATTTTTATTTTTCAATTTCGATTTGTTAAAAGGTACACTAAAAACTTTTTTCAATAAACCCATTATATTTATTCAAAGTATAAATGTTAAATACATTTAAAAAAAAATCCTTATTCCTTACTTTATTACTCTGTGGCGCCTGGGTTGTAAGCAGATAAGTTTCATTTAAGTATTTAACAATTAAATAAGAATTAGGACAGATACACCTACTTAATATGTGCTTTATATTATGGCAGATTATACTAATACATCAAAGTAATGCATTGAAACCTTAAATGACCCGTTTTGTTATAAAAAGCGCTTTTATAAAAATTTAACTTGTTTTTCCTTATTACTCTTTCTGCCGTCCTCAAGCTAAAATGCGGCTAAATGACAAAAACAACTTTAGAGATATGGCCACAAAACGGCCCGTAAACTTTAAATTATTGCTATTTTGTAACCATTAATCACATGACGGAGACATAAACTATAAAAGATACGAATACTTGTTAAATACAGATCGATAGAGAATTCAAAACTGTATAAGATGCAATTTAAGACTGAAAAATTGACCTCATGTCACTTAGCCGCACTTTAGTGTAAGGACGGCAGCTTTCCTGTAGGTATTTTTAATAGTGTCGTAACAGAATCAATAATTTCGCTTTGTATTAAAAGGTTACTTAAGTAAATGATACTTAGGTGTACATTTATTTTCATTTTTACTGTTTAATTTAATCAAATGGTCTTGAAGAATTTTTAAATAAAATTCAATTACTATAATTTAAAGAGTATTATTTCTCAAGTTTATGGTAATGTACGTCGAAAATTTAGCGGGAGAAAATAGAAAAATAGCGGAGCTTGTCAAGCGACTGCTGACACTGATTAATAGAAGTTGAAAACGCAGAGAAGCCCTTTATCGATTAAACACAGTTACTACGCATATTTTAAACATAAAATACTATAAAAGCTTTTTATTATGTATTAAAATTAGCTTACATCGTCGTCACTAATAAACCGGAATTGTGCTAATTCGCCCAAGGGAATCATTCTGTATGCAAGCCATGCAGGGTCTGCTGTGTGTCATACATAATAAAAATATGACGAACTCGTTGGACTTATTAAGCCACAGCATAACTACTTTGTTAACCACTCATTATCTAACCGGGTATTGTTTCTGTTAATCCTTTGCTTTCCTAAGACATTATATTGAATATGATTTTTTTAAATACCTAATGTAAAAGGTTGCAAGTTTCTCTTTTTACACACAATAGCTTTATATAAGGGCTGCAACAATACCTACCGATACGATAATCGTATATCGGCGATTATGGTAAGTTTTACGATCATTCGTTATCGTTAACATTATGATAAGAATATATACGATTCAACTTTTTCCAATATTTTTCGAGTACGTAATAGTTAGTACAGTTTCGAGTGAAACGAAACGCATAACGCGTCGATTTCTGAATACACACCATCCCGTTTGTTTGTACCTAAAAACGTATAACTTAATTATAATATCTTAATTTTGATATAATAACAGACAAAGTGATACAAAAAAAACTTTAAATAAGTTCAATAAAATGCAATAAAACATAAATCGGAATGCATTCAATAACGTATAATATGATATCATAGAATTCATTCGCATCGTAATTCGTTAATGTATTGGCCATACCGTATTGGTATCTTAATAGTCGTAGCATTGCATCCCTACATTATATAAAGAAGATTAACTTTGCTAACATGCCACAAATAGATCTCCTTGTTAAACCATTTTTACACAATTAGATGTTTATTAATAATAGTCTATTTTTATTAATTAAAAAAGTTATTCATATAACTGCCCGCTATGCGACATGCAAAAAAAAATACAGTTAAAATTTTCAGTGATTGTGGTATCATAATTAAAATGGCAAAAATGTGCCCTATAAGGTTGTTGTTTCAAAAAGTCAAATTTTGTATTGCTTTTACGGGTCGTAAAATCCGTGTACCTAGGCACTAAATTTTCGGTCTAGATTTCATCTGCATGAAGTAGAATCACGGGATCAATGGTCCAAGACCAGTTCCCTATAATTAACGATAGGGGGTGTAATCAATGAATACCACAGTAAAATAACGCTACCTTTTGGTGGTGCTGTGTTTCTGTCGGTGAGTAAGGTTCAAGGGCTTCACGGGGTAGGGGATATCGAAAGTCCCATTTTGCATTGCATTTATGGGTCGTAAATCCGTGTACCTAGGCACTAAATTTTCGGTCTAGATTTCATCTGCATGAAGTAGAATCACGTGATCGATGGTCCAAGATCAGTTCACTATAAATAACGATAGGGGGTGTAATCAATGAATACCACAGTAAAATAACGCTACCTTTTGGTGGTGCTGTGTTTCTGTCGGTGAGTAAGGTCCAAGGGCTTCACGGGGTAGGGGATATCGAAAGTCCCATTTTGCATTGCATTTATGGGTCGTAAATCCGTGTACCTAGGCACTAAATTTTCGGTCTAGATTTCATCTGCATGAAGTAGAATCACGGGATCGATGGTCCAAGACCAGTTCACTGTAAATAACGATAGGGGGTGTAATCAATGAATACCACAGTAAAATAACGCTACCTTTTGATGGTGTTGTGTTTCTGTCGGTGAGTAAGGTTCAAGGGCTTCACGGGGTAAGGGATTAGGTCAGGGTAGGCAACGGCGTGAGTGATATTTTTTGTATCGCAAATGTCTGTAGGCTATGGTAGCCGATTACCATCCGGCGGGCAATTCATTCTGCTTGTTTGCCACCTTATAACATAAAAAAACAACCTATTAGCCATTTTCCTACGCTACGGTTTCACAATGGTCGTCTGTTTACGACAAGCTCATAGCACCGTACAAGTAACGATAGGTGGTTTAGCACTGCACTTTGCACCTTATTCCACCACCGGTAAATATTTATGCTTCGAATAGGTTATTTTCGTTTAAAATGTTTTTCATTCGTTTTGTTTCTAAAATGGTAGGGCATTATAAAATTTTATTATCTACGGATTGACGCATAACTATAAAAATACTTGAATGCCTGTTTGAACCAACCTAAATTTGGACTTCATAAGCTGATGCAACATCTTAAGAAATTTTTGGTTTGTTTCTATCAACAATAAAAGATATTAGACATTCCTAACTTAAGAACATCTTATTAAGTAAATGAACGAAATAATTAATCGTTTAGTAAATGTTTGTCTTTGTTATATGTATTTGATTAAAATGGCAGCTTTTTACAATAAGCCAAAATGTATTAGGATGTTATTATGTAATTCATTAGAAAATACTTTGGACGTTCTTTGGCCGTTTCTGAAGTTACACGCTCCATAAGTATTCGCTGTCATATAGCATTGACTTAGCATCGTCTTATAGTTTGGTGCAAACCAATTTGACAATTAGCAGTCACCTGAATATTTAGAAATATGAAGCTCCTAAGTTTGGTGTAACCCTAAGTGCCATCTCCATTATATGAGGTTATCTGTTTAAATAAAAGGCAACCGTTACTGACTGACTGATCTTTCAACGCACAGCTTACACTGAACGGATTGCGCTGAAATTTGGCATGCATACAGACAGCTATTATGATGTAGGTGTGCGCTAAGAAAGGATTTTCCAAAAACGCCTTAAAGGGCTTAAAGGGGGTTCAAAAGTTAACGCGGACGAAGTCTCGGTTTTTAATAAACAATATAAGTTTACTTATAATAATATAAGTTTTTATACTGCTTGAAAACATCTCGAGTCACGTGAATGTATGAATATATCGGGGAAGATATATAACATGGCGAAAGTTTCCCCTTTGACAATGTTCCGTATACGAAGGTTTCTTTATAATAAATAATTCATTATTCACTCGCATCGTACGTTATAACGGTTAGGTACAGCCGGGTTTGGGCAATGGCGTTGACAAGAATAGGGGCTACATAATAAGTTATCCAAGCGAATTGTTACGAAGATAATCTGAGATGTTACACACCATGTGTTTTGTATACATCAGTTGAATAGCTTTATAAATTATTCAACGTGTTATGTACACGGGCTAAAATTTCTCGGGAGCTTTATTGTGTAGATCGAGTAGGTACCTTTGTCTACTTACTAACAATATGCTAGGTAATATAATATATTATGTGTACTATGTATTTTTTTGTTTCACAAATATTTACATTTAATTCATTTGTGTAATTTTCGTCGAAAATATGTTAATGTTTACATTCTAATAAGTGTTAAAGACCATCTCGAAATCAATTAATATTAATTTATTGTATATATAATTTTTATTGTTATTACAATTCGGTCATCATTTAAAAATAACAATATTTCAATGTCTTGTTTAAGAAATAACACTATTTCAATGTCTGCTTTTGATTTAGGGATAGTCTGGAAAGCTTTGGGTTTAATAAATCCTCATCTAGTCACTAAAGTATTTCCGTTTTATTATCAGACTTGTGTGGTTTTATAAATTGATGAGGTATTATTAAATTATGCATAATTTTACTGTTTCGATCGACAACTACAATGTGAACGTGGCAAGAAACTATACGAGTTAAAAATTAGTATTATTAGAAATAATATTGGCTTTTTAATGTTTATTATTAATCTGCTTTTGCAATTTCTTTATTTTTGTGTTTAAAGATCTTGGTCATGTTCACATCAAGAAAGTATTGAGTATTGTAGCATAGATAATAAATTTAATACAATCGTGTGTTATATTGCTATTTATTTTTCTATTGGAATTTATTGTATCTGCTATAATATTTATAAAATAAATAACTGAAATTATAATTTAATGATATATTTATTTTTAAACCTTCACGACACATTATTATGTGCAGTATAAGACTTGATTGCTGGAAAGTATTATCCTTAACTTCACACACTTAAAAACAAATGCCATTCACACTGTTATTGTACGTAGCTAGTTGTCTGCCTGCACATTTTGAGATTATGTGAAATACTAACTACACATTCAAACAAAACTTATTTCGCCAAAACTTACTTTAAAGGTGAAGTCAAACGAGCATAATTTTTCGAGTTGTAAATCTAAAATTTAAGCTTAAGGTATTCGGCTCCCTACAGAGAAATACTACTCGAATACACAAAAAACAGGGTAAACAACTCGAAAAATACGCCAGTTTAGCCCCTCGGTGACCTTAAACAGTTGGCGTTTACAAGAATAATCGCCGATATACTCGGAACATCCTAAAAGCCCAACCTACTTGAAAATATTCTCTTCTTTTCTGCTTCAACAAGAAAACAGGTCCATTATAATTCTATCCCATTGTCTACACATAAAGGTGGGTACAACATCGAGTGTTTCAGTAATAATTTAATCCTGTGTGTCACGAACGTAACCCTTTGTTGTTATCTAAATACGGTTTCATTATCACTGAATAGCTTAGCCAACTGAGGTGTTATACGTTACGTTTATCGTGTATCATGTTCATAATTCTATTTGCAGAGTGCGACGACGAAACCCCTTCGATCGAAGCGTTAGTGAGGTCGCCATCGTTGCCGATCCACAGCACTAACAACTCGCCTAACCTTTGGACCATCGTCATGCGATTACAAAACGAACTGAAATCACTCAAATTAGACGTTAAAAGTTTAGAACTACAACTAAGCGAAGAACGCCAGGAACGTACTCTTGCCATAGCCGCCTTGCAATCCAAAAATATATTAAGGGATGCGAAAGAAAGTAAATGCTAGGGAACAGTGCCTTTAATATAGGTAATAAATAATGTGTTTCTTTAATAGATATTCTATTAAAAGTATTAAGAATGTATTGTACAAAATACAAAATTATTGATCAGAAATGTGTTTATTATTTTCCTTTTATCTGTTTCGTGGAAGGAGCGTTGCTTCAAATTCTATAAAAAAACAATAAATCGTCGTTATACAGCGAAAACCAAGTAAATAGAAATCAGTTGATAATACAAATTGACTCAGTTTTTCGTCTGCGAAAATCATTAATGTGTTTCCATTAAACCATTGTGTGTAGAAAATAGCCTTATGCGCGAGCCTAACATCATAGGAAAACTAAAAGCGGATAGACTTAGCTGGCTCGGACATGTTGAAAGAATGGGAGAGGATCGGCCTGTGAAAAGAGTATATCTGGGACGACAACAGGCTGGACGCCCAGATACCGCTGGAGTGATGAGGTTCAGAAGGAATTGTAGGCTTAAGATGAGTAAGGTTCCAGGACTCTTCGGGGCAGGGTAAGCGAGTGATATTTTTGATATTGCAAGTGTCTATAGGCTATGGTGCCGCTTAATATCAGTAAGTCGATATGCTTGTTAGCCACCCTTTTAACGGTAAAAAAAAACTCAGGTCCCTTGAATTTTTAACTAAATGTTCGGCTTTAGGCAAGCAGTATACCTACAGGGTGGCCGGGGAGTTGACGTTCAAGCGTAAAATTTAGATACTTTATGATGAGGAGTATCCAAATCACCCCCATGTATGTTCTACGATTTTGGGTAGTTTTCGAGTTATAATTTTTTTAATGATTTTTTTCGTAATTTTCGCCTAACTACCGTTTTCGATTTTTTTCTCATTCTGTTGGACGTTTCTGGTTCATTTTTTTTTGTAATAACTGATTAACATAGTCTAACCTATCACCCTAAAACTTATGGTTTATCTAGGCATTGTAGAATTCACTTAGAATTTGTTCGAAAGTTCAAAATTATGATTTGAGCTCAGTACACACAAATTTTCAAATTATCAAAAAAAATGTAAATGGGGGGATTTTGAGTTTAAAGTGCTTTTAGAAACTTCCTGAGACATTAAACTTTCAAACAAGGCCAAATAAAGAAAGGGTTAATGGGGGTTTATTGTCTGTAACTGACCTTCAAAGTAAATTAAGGCATTTTCAAAGGAATTATTTTATTTAAATCTTTGACTTTCTATGAGTTATGATGGATTGAGTAAAACGCAGTTAATTGTGAACAAAATACATTTATTTAAAGCAAATTTTCAAAATTTTGCCCTCCCACAGAAATACATAATCTACATCTGCGCAAAAAAAAATATGTTTTAGGTGCCTAAAAGCTTTACGGTTATTTTTCACAGTGGTTTCAGCTTCGCCAATTTTTGCTCTCAGTTATTCTTCACTAGAAGCTTCTCTGGCGTACGCAATTTCTTTAAAGTAGCCCCAGATAAAAAAATCAATAGGGTTGAGGTCAGGCGAGCGTGGTGGCCAGGCAATTGGCCCTTGTCGTCCGATCCACCTGTTGGGGTAGGTCTGGTCTAAATGGCGACGCACTTGTGTCGCGTAATGACATGGCGCCCCGTGTCGTTCTGGAATACCATCGTTCTTCTTAATTCAAGATTAACATTTTCCAGTAATATGGGTAGGTTGTCTTCTAAAAAACTTTTGTATGTGTCGTCGTCTAATCTCGATGGCAGTTCAAATGCGCATATTAATTCGCCATTCAAAACACCAGACCACATTTCAACGCTAAAACGATGTTTTAATGATGATGGTCTGGCGGCGTGTGGATTTTCAACGGCCCAAATGTAAAAATTGTGGATATTGAAAACCCCAGTTCGCTCAAATCTTGACTCGTCGGTCCACAAGATTTAATTAAAGTATCCGGGATCTTCTTCCTCTTTCTGCAACATAGTTCTACAGAACTCGACTCTCAATTGATAATCTGAAGGCTGCAACGCTTGTACTTTTTGTATGTGGAAGGCGTGAAATGATTCCTCACGCAAAATATCCTGTATTGAAGATCTTGGTATGCTAATGCTCTCGTACTTGTACAACTATTGCGTTGCACTTCTTCCAGTACGATTTCCCTGCGTTCCTGATCAACCCTCTGAATGCCTTCACCGCCACGTTGGCCAGGAATGCCAACCGCCTCGGCGTCGAAGTTAAACCCCGTAAAAATAATGTATTTCTGCATTTTCACTCAGAGTGTAGGGCATCACTAACACTTCCAAGTAACTACAGTCCAAACCGTTACGCACTACGGAATCCAGTAACAAGCAGGGGTCAAACAAGTAAGCAGCGGCGGTATTAGTAGGCAAATAGTGGTCGAGAAAAAACGGCAGAACAAGACGAGTAAGTAAGTAGTAGTAGAATTTAGGTCATTACAACTGTGTTTTACTCAAATCCATCATAACTGAGAGATAGGCAAAGATTTATATAAAAGCAAATAAATAATTTATTTCCTTGAAAAATGCCTTAATTTACTTTGAAGGTCAGTTACAGAAAAAAACCCGCATTAACCCTATCTTTATTTGGCCTTGTTTTAAAGTTTAATGTTTCAGGAAGTTTCTAAAAGCACTTTGAACTCAAAATCCCCCAATTTACATTTTTTTTGAACTTTGAATGGAGATTGCTCAGCTTCCATACATAATTGGCCTAAAGACCAATAATCATGAAAAATTGTTTCCTAGATTCGAAATTATATCTACAAATTACTGTAGAAACGAATATTATTGACGGCCACCCCTGAGAACTTCTATAAACCATATACACTGAACATATTAAAATAATAAAAAACAAATAAGTTATATAGTAAACTAGGGAAATCAAGCCAAGTACCGAAATTATGGATTAGATTCAGGTATATAGAGCATGTAGATTACGAATAGTTGCCTGTTTTTAAAGTTAATGCATAAGAGTAACTTTTAAAATCAGGTGTCATTTCCGGTTATAATAAGGTACTCTATGACAGAAACTGTGTGATGATTGTGAATGAGCCACAGATTAAGGAGAATTTTTAAACTCTCGTTAACCAAAGAAAGCTAAGAGATTTAGGTTCTATAGCCATATATTTAGTAGCTTCATTATTTTTGTTATGTTTTTAAGATAACCATATTTTAGATTTTTAGTGTATCACACCTTATAATTTTATTTATTTATTAATTTATAGTCAGGGAACGTAGGCCCATAGATAGATACCTTAAAGTCTAACATATATACAGATTATAATATGTTTATGGAGGTGTTTGGCGAAAAATGTATGGCTTATAATAGACTTTATGATGTCGCCTACCATCTATAATAATTGTCTGAGAACATTTGCATCTAGTGAAAATGATGATATAGTTGTGGATATTAATGCCACAGTGTAATAAAAAAAGGATTTATTTTATCGATCTTAACGAAATAGATTTGTTTTTATGTTATATAAACAACTTCGATCAGACTTTGGCTGAATGTTACTACACCCATAGCCATTAAAAATGATTCGTATGTTTTCCAAACCGGTAAAATTAAAAGTCCTTTTTAAAGTAAATATATTATACAAAGCTGTCCGTTGCAATCTAATGATTGTAAATTAAATTATAAATTACGCCAAGAATTACCGTGTATGTCAATATTTTTTGTGCATTTAGGCCAATTTGAGCAATCTCCTTTGTGTGTACTGAGCTCAAATCGTAATTTTGAACTTTCGAACAAATTCTAAGTAAATTCTGCAATGCCTAGATAAACCATAAGTTTTAGGGTGCTAGATTAGACTATGTTAGTCAGTTATCACAAAAACCAGAAACGTCCAACAGAATGAGAAAAAAATCGAAAATTGATGTTAGGTCAAAATTACGAAAAAAAACATTAAAAAAATTATAACTTGAAAACTACGCAAAATCGTAGAAGATACATGGGGGTGATTTGGATACTCCTCATCATAAAGTATCTAAATTTTACGCTTGAACGTCAACTCCCCGGCCACCCTGTTTATACCAAACTTGCAGTTCTATAACTAGTTATATAAATAACCCATTCCGTTTAGGATCTACAGACCCGTGACATACGGAAAGACAAAATAGAGTACAGCAATAGGGTTCCATCTTTACACTTTGGGTACGGAATCCTAAATAGGTACTTGGCCAATATTTGTGTATGAAAAATCGTAAGTGATCAATCATTTCATTACCATCAGCAAACTATGAATGTCTCTTATTCTGGGACACAAACCTGTTCTCTATGTCTCTATGGGTGGAATAGGGAGTTTTGGGCTACGAGCATGACTCGCCACCGTGTGGGCCCAATGCGGATTGGAGGGTGCTAAAGACAAGACGCCCCCGCCGTGAATTTGGTTCTCGGGCATGTATACATATACACCGTCCACTTGAATACTAATATTGCAGAAAACTACATTAAAATCCGTTGCGTAGTTTCAAAGATTTAAGCGACGGGACTTTACCAAAATGTGAGTAAATCTCCACTAAATACAATACATGTACCATTTTGGTAATAAAAATGTTAAACACTAATAAAAGTACATACCCAGGCAAGATAACTAACTAGATACCTACCTATGTTCTGTCATCACGAAGAAAGACGGAAGAAATTATGACGCCGTAAAAGTCGAGCAACTGTGTAATTAAACTGTTATATAAAGAGGCTGGAGAAAATTCTTTAGGGAGCGAAAACATTCTGAATCTGTGTATCATATAGCGGAGTTCATGCTACTAAGTAAGTACCTATAGTTATGTAGCGCTGCGCGGTTCAATGAGTGCTCACTCGAACGAATCTCACAATAGCGTAGATGGAAGGCAAAGTGTCAAAGCATTGCTGTGGAGATTAAAACAACTGCCGGTGAAAATATTTCAGGTAACCAGTCAGTTGAACCACAAAATACTGTCTATTTTGTAGTTGAATTCTGAGCGCTATGTGCAGCGCAACATCGATGATGTGTGCAGGTTTTTAACTAACTTGAACGCTTTTACGTTAATTTAAACGTGAAACTGAGAAAAGAATAAAAGGCACCAGTGCCAACTTTGCTGCACTGATAGTAAATGCTTATTAGTGGATTAGGGCTGTTTCTGAAATTATTGAGATGGAACAACATACATGGTGCCGTTAACTACGGTGGTATGGTTCAATCCCACCCTACCCCTGGGGGATATGGCTAGGGGTATGGTGGGTCTGGCATGAATTTTGTTTCTCTCTTAATTAAACTACGTCAGCTTATTACGTGAATCTATTCATCATCAGCAGCCTATTAATGTCCCCACTGCAGGGGCACAGGTTTGGATGCAATAGGTAGACTGGGCCGAGATCCACCACGCGGGCCCAGTGTGGATTGGTGGGTCCTTCACTTTCACATTCGCAAACATTATGCGCTAACTAGCTGCGCCATCGAGCTCCTCTGAATCGTGAATCTTTTACTTATGCCCTATTCAAATAATGTGACAATGACTGCTAACAATTGCTGCTATGGAGCTAGGAAGAATCGAAACGATTCTACAATTTTTTTTGTCACCTATCCCGCGGACTGGTCAACGTAGGTAATAATAGTCAGGGTCGGATATAGAGGTGTGGAGGCCCTGGGGCAACGAAGGTGTGGGGGGCCCATTTTAGTATCCGAAGTGCCCTAAATCCGGCCCTGACTGCTTAAATTTCAAAATCGCAGACGATATTCTACTAATATTACAAACTAGCGGCCGCCCGCGATATAGGTCGTCATTTTATCATGTTTTTTTTTAATCCCTCGGGAACCTTACACTTTTCCGTGATTAAAAGTGTCCTATGTGTCAATCCAGGTAATAAACTATATGCGTTCCAAATTTCATCCAAAGCAGTGTAACTGTTTTTGCGTGATTAAGGGGTTACGCGGAATTGCGAAAAAAACGGCGTTCCTTTTAGATTTTTTTCTGAATAGGTATTGCATTTAACAAATGCCAGAATATTCAATAAATGTAACTTTTTACAACACTTGGGTGGTTTTAATTTTTAAAATTTTTAATTAACTTACA